GATTGAAATATTTAATTAAATTATCTCAAACAAACCTTCATTTCGGTGCAATATTGAAATTAGCTTGAATTCTTCATAATCTCTGTCAAATATTCCAAATCATTTTTTAAAGCAGCATTCTCCTCCCAGCTAGCAACACCCAAAACCTTAATAAATAATTTATTGACTATTATTTCATCTATGTCATTGATGCAATTTAAAAAGAGCAAAGGTTCTAGCATTGAGCCCTGATGTACCTCACTTGTGACATTAGTCCAATTTGACCGAACTCCATTTATAATAACACCCCCGCTTTCTTCCATCCATTCAGTTTTATATTCAATGAACCAACATATAATTAAAATTTACAGAGATAACATTTTTACAAATCTTTTATGTGGCACCTTATCAAGTACTTTCTGAAAATCCAGATACACTAACTTCACACCCGTATCCTAATCTACATAAAAAGTAACCTTTTGAAATGTCATACGTGTAATAAAATTATGGTAATCAATGGTCTTCGTAATATATTAAGATAAAGTTTGAATTAAAAAATACGCGAAAAATATTATAATGCAAAATATATACAAACTGTTCGTTCTTCAAAATAATCAAATATATAAATAGTAGCTTACGGTAAGTCATTCTCAAGTCCACGTTTTCAAAATATCACACACATTACTTAAAACATATATGTATTTTAAAATCAATTTAATTATCCCGTTTTAATTGTAATGTCTATTGCTGGGTACGTGAGCTTGTATAAATATAACAGATATTATATGTATTGTATTTGTATTTATGGCAAAGCTAGAAAGGCCGCAATCTATAATTTTGATATATAGACCAGATGGAAGGCAATCAGTCAGCCACCCACCATTTACTTTGGGGATTGACTGTCACTCTTATAACGCACACACAACTTAAAGTTCGGGGGAATATTTTGTGTTATCTCTCTACCAGAGGATAACCTGCACCCAAACAATTTATGCAAGATGACAGTTTCTTTTTTTAAACAAGTTATTAAACATCATTTTTATTTTTCATGACGCTTTCTTTGTACAAAGCCGAATAATAAGTCATTAAATCAAGAATTATCAAAGCCAAGCTGCTTTACACGAAGACCTATAACGACGTCAAACTGCTCATATGTAGGCCAAAGATACGTTTAAGTACCTCTGATTACTCATAAAGTATGTATCTTGTCGTCTTGCTATATTCAGTATGGCAGCTATGGCAGAAAGAAAAACCAAAACATGGCAATAGCTTCAGAATGGTCAGGAATATGCTTCGCTCTCATGTGTTTTCATATTTGCAATGTAAATTTGATATAAATAATATTAGCCCTCTTATTGCATTAGTCATTATTTTGTAAGGTTAAAGCCCTCTGTGGATCGCGGGAAACAATGTCACCAAACATACTCGCCTTTTAAGCCGTGGGGACGTTATAATATGACGATCAAACCCACTATTCTTGGTAAAGAGTAACTCAAGAGTGGGTTGTTGGTGATGTTGATTACTTGCCTCCTCTCTAATGTAGCCTTCAAAATTAGGGACGGCTAGTGCAAATAACCCCCGAGTGGCTTTGCGTGAAATTTAACAGAACAAACAGATCATTTTGTAAAATACAATTGGATACTTCTGTTACAAATATACTGTATAGTTTAAGTTATACCTTTGCATGAATAAGGGAAACGTCTTTGTTCATGTAGTAAATTAAGTGTGTTCATAATTTTCGATCGTCTTTTGAAAAATTAATCTCATAAAAATGTAAACAAGTCAAGAAATATTCTATCATTAAATATCTCTATATCAAAGGTAAAAAAAAATATTATAATGTTTAAAAGATTAATTAAGTGGAAGATCCCAACGGACTTCCTCTACTTATTTCAAATATTTTTTTTTGAAGACGAATGTTTTGCAGATCTGATGAGGACCTACGTCAGGAGTCGGATAAAGTCCTTTTAAGCCTTTCAGATGAAATAATCGATTTTAAAGCATATTTGATGTTGATCATATTCTGATATTTTTGTATATGATAATGTTCAACTTATTTGATACATTTTTGCGCATTTAATAAAACAAGTAAGAAACAAGATAATATCTAAGGTAATAAAAATTACTTCTACGCTTTCAAACATCATTTTAAGTGACTTTGCAAAGTTAAAATTTTTAAGAGATGGCCTTGTACTGTTCAACAGTATTTATCATAATCTTATACTCCTGAGGATGACGTGATACATGTAAAGTGTCTGTTTTGAGACCGATGACGGTCTCAGTATAAATTGTTTTGCTAGCTGTGTACTTATAAGACAACGATTTATATGAGGACTGATCATTGTATTTAAATTTTGTTCATATGTTACATACAAAGGAACTTCAGTCCTTGTATGTAACATATGGACAAAGTTTAAATACGAACTTCAGTAGTCCTTGTATGTAACATGTGGACAAAGTTTAAATACAAAGTTCGTATTTAAAGTCTATCCATGTGTTACATACAAGGACTGAAGTTCGTATTTAAACTTTGTCCACATGTTACACACAAAGACTGAAGTTCGTGTTTAAACTTTGTCCATATGTTACATACAAGGACTGAAGTTCGTGTTTAAACTTTGTCCATATGTTACATGCAAGGACTGAAGCTCGTATTTAAAGTTCGTCCACATGTTACATTCAAGGACTGAAGTTCGTGTTTAAACTTTGTCCATATGTTACACGCTAAAAGTTTAAGTGCGAAGAGGTATTTAATGAAGGAGATGACATTTTACAAATACTGTGTTCCAGTATTGTGATTAAATATCTTGTATGCCCTTTTATTACAACATACAACTAACTGAAGTAAAAATAATATATATAATTATTTTTACTGTAGAACTTCTTCAAAATGAAGACGACTTTACTAGCGAGAAGATAAAGATCATTGGAAGTGAAAGGCAGTTGTCACAGTACAGGCTCGTACTGATAGGAGAAACCGCCTAGCTAGACTGGTGGTAGTTTCTGCGTAAGAGTCAATCATTGGTTGTTAATAAGTTTGCCGTATGACTGTTTCCCCACAGCTATCACAGCCTGTGCGAGCAAGACATATATACACACACACATATGCCAAGGCAGAGCTTCTTGATTTAGGATAACGATCGTTACACTAACAGTACGAGCGCCACTCTCTCTGTTCACTTACATCGCAGAACCTGTTTCATCAACAAGTAAGCGAGCTGACGTCTTCTCACCTGAAGATATCAAGGAGGTGAGTTCACTAAGGTATGAAACATTCCAAGCTTACTAGAAATTCAGCTACATATAACATTTATCATAACTAGTGTCTCATTACTTTGAAAATCAAACAGTTCGTACAATGAAAGTACATTATGTACAAGTTCTTGCTAAACGTCAAAAACACAGTTAGAAAGTACGCTCAACAGTTGCTTTGAATTTGACTACCGGCGCTCCATTATTGATAGTGTTTAAGTAAAACTATTTCATTTTAGTCCTAAATGAGCGAAGATTAAGAATTATGCTTAAAAATGAAGTAAAATTCCAGATTTTCGGTCTTAAAAGAACGATATCGTAAATTAAATACCGAACTGTGATATAACCCGTAATTAAATAGAAAAGTTGTCCAGATCATTTTAATACGGAGATACATATATCTAATAATAGAATAATACACCACTATTGCTTTTGTGAGGTTCAACCCTGGATCACATAAATATATTCACCATCCTTAATCTGCAGTTACGTGGTCCGTAATAACATATAAGACACACAATTAAAATGTAACCAAACATATCGTTGATATTGCATTTAGTCCAACCAATTAATTCTGGATTTTCCTATGTATCTTACATAGAAAATTAGTGATTTAATTCAGGTTTTTGGTAAATTCCTTACCCCGAACGACTTAGCAGAAAAAAGTATAAACTTACTTAATATGCTGCAGTATGAGGACCCCGCCGGTAGTGAGTGATATGCAAATAAGAATTGGTAACTTGAGGGATAAATAAGACCAGTAAACAGAGATAAACACCTTGGGTCTAAGAGGTCACGTAACTACAAGCAGTGGTTGTTTTTTTCACTTCTGGTATGAATTATTTTTTTATATTTCTTTGCTAATCCTCTGAACAGATGTTGTTTAGTTTTGTAATAAGTAATTCTAGCTTGTTCAAAATGATGAATAGAATCGTTAGAACCAGAATTGAAAAAACATCTGTTTTAAATTTTGGTTTGATACAGTTTATAGTGAAGCTTCGTTTCCGATAACTTAAGCAGAAAAACTATTGTTTATTTTCAATAATTGACGCACTTCACAATTGTTCTTTAACGCAATAGTAATTAATGGAATACTCTCTGCCTTAAACTGTAGTAACTATTTATCTGTTTGTTTGTTTTTAATTATGCACAAAGCTACACAAGGGCTATCTGTGCTCTGCCCCCCACGGGTATCGAAACCCGGTTTCTAGCGTTATATGTCCGCTGACACTATTTATCTGAGATTTATAAAAATCGTCATGCCAGTCGATTCTTTAAAAATTCTTGCTGCATATTCTGAAACTCATAAGCGAAATTCATTGAAGCGAAATGGTTTGTCGATATTATTTGCATGATTTGTCCTTTTAATATATCTACAATAATCTTGGAAAACAAAACAAATAAGGTTAGAAATACCTCATTAGATAAAAAATATGGAAAATAATAACGTATTTTAATCTTACGCGAAGAACACTATTTTCAAAATGTATTTTTTTTTCTTAAGAAACACTTGTGTAAAGCGTAACTTAGTCTTAAATAGAGTTCAGAAATTAAACGGGTTTCTTTGGCGGTGGCCCGGCATGGCCAGGTGGTTAGTGCGCTCGACTCGCGATCTAAGGGTCTCGGGTTCGAATCCCCGTCACACCAAAAATGCTCGCCCTTTCAGCCGTGGGGGCGTTATAATGTGACGGTGAATCCCACTATTCATTGGTAAAAGAGTAGCCCAAGAGCTGACGGTGGGTGGTGATGACTAGCTGCCTTCCCTCTAGTTTTACACTGCTAAATTAGGAACGGCTAGCGCAGATAGCCCTCGTGTAGCTTTGCGCGAAATTAAAAACAAACAAACAATTCTTTGTCTGTATTTATATTATGTTCCCCGGTGGCTCAGCGGAAAGTTTCTTGAGTTTGATGTAAAGTGAATCATATTGAATTATGCCTCGAATATGTTTACTGTATCTCCTAATACAGAATTTTTTGAGAATTTATTTCATTAAAATTTTTTTAAAGGTTCACATGACGACACAAAATATTTAGATTTGATTAGCGTTCTTCTATACACAATTAAAAAGATTCCGTTAAGTGTTTTTGTAGGTGAAATGCTATAAAATACCTTAATTCTATTTAACAAATATTGTATGACGAAGATGAGAAAAGCTTTCTATTAATTATGTAGTTGATATATGTCCTTCTATATTGAAGATATAGAATTTTTTTTTATTATCTTGCATAAATAATTTTAGAAGTTAAAGAAGAAATTTTAGTTACACTTGATAAACGTTAAGACATGTTAGAAACGTAAAACCAAACCGTTCTTGATTATATCTGATCACCATTCTTGTACGTCAGAGATGAAAAGTCTCTATGATCAAAATATTCTTAGATAACATCTTAGATCATTTTGGTTTAAGTTTCTTGATAGCTAAAGTTTCTTTTATCCTTACCTTATTGGAACTACGTATTATATCAAATCTCTTTTTCATGAATAATCAATATAGAAAATCGAAAGAGTATAGCTTAAGATAAAAGAACAAATCTAGCAAAAAATCAAAATAGTATTTTAGAAATAAGAGAATAAACATACAACATAAAGTAATGAGAGCAATTAGAGTGATAGTTTTTATGAAATTAAATAAAGTATAATGTATAATACTTTAAGCAACGCCCCCCAGTGGCACAGCGGTATGTCTGCGGACTTACAACGTTAGAATCCGGGTTTCGATACCCGTAGTGGGCAGAGCACAGCTAGCCCATTGTGTAGCTTTGTGCTTAACTTCAAACAAATAAACTAACAGATATGAAAAACGTTCTTCTTACTTGTATTACATAAGACATCTTGCAGGTTAAAGGTAAAAGGTTTTATTTTCTAAATATATTCAATAAATGATGATGTACGTTATAACGAAAGCTTCGTATGTAATGCATTTGACGAATGTTTCATACCATTATAAGCTGTATATATTGGTATATTTCAAGCACAGTTTCTTAGGATAGAAAAACTCGTTCCTTTGTCATTGAAGATATATCTTAAACTAAGAAAAATATAAAATTTGCCTTTCTCAACAAGCAGGGAAATACTCTTATCTACGTGAAAAGCAATATTTTAAAATTTTGCATATAGACAGTCTTCCATTCGGGAAGATAAAGTGGTTATTAACACATCTATTGAGGTCGTATAATAACCGGTTTTATGACTGTCTTTTTTTCTACTATCAACCTAAAATGAAAAATGAGAGTTACTAGTTCTGGTTCAGCTGATAAGTTGAGAACCTTTTTACTGAAATTGACAAATTGTTTCAAAGTCTATGTAAGGCTCCATCGAGCCATAGCATTGTATGTGCAGAACGTCAGCTTAGTAAATGACTGATAAAAGAAATAACTTACTCAGTCCATTTTTTATAACATTTTGGAACTATTGGTTATACTTTGATTAACAGCGAAAAGTAATGTTACGTTTTTTAAGCAGTACATTATATCGGATCAATTCCGGATCAGCGAATACGCCCTTATTAAAACTTGACACTCTATAACACCGTATTTTTTAAAATCAATAGTGTCAATCATTAAGAATAGATTTCACTCTTGTTACATTAATTAATTGTTTGCAATTTTTACTCCAATTTGTTCGAGGTCATACGATCTAAGGGGGACATAGACATTTGTTGCACTACAAACCTCGTATACTTGCCTGTTATCTTTTGTTTTTTTAGCGCAAAGCTACATAATGGATTATCAGCGCTTTGTCCACTACGGGGAATAGAATCCTGGATTTTAGCGTTGTAAACTTTCCGTCTTTTGAGCTTTCCGCACGATATGTTCTTGCCATTTATCATAGAAAACCAGATTTTTCAGAATATTTTCTTTTTACTTATTTAACTATAAAAATTATTTACGTTTAGCCTGCAAAACGGCTAAGATGTGAGTTGCACACATAACTACGACAGAGGTGCAAATAAAATTAAATCTTAACAGAAATGACATATTTTAATTGTTTATTAAAGCTGAAATTTCACCTCAGTGACATATTTAATACGACTCACTTATATACAATGTTCAAAAGGGACACAATGTAAAGAATTGTGGAATCATAACTACTTATCACTTGATGTGTTCAAAATTTGAATAAGTTATCTTTATTAATAGCCCCTACATAATGACATGTCAGAAGTAATGTTGACGAAAGTACCAGAGTGGCATTACATACCAAAAAGCAAGCTCCTACTATCTATTATTATTCTATTAATCTAGATAATAGGTTGTTATCAGTGGTGCTCCCAGTGGTACAGCGGTAAGTCTCCAGTCTTATACCGCTAACAATCGGGTTTCGATACTTGTGATGGGCACAGCAAATATAACCCATTGCTTTTCGATACTTATGATGGGCACAGAAAATATAACCCATTGCTCTTCGATAGTTGTGATGGGCACAGCAAATATAACCCATTGCTTTTCGATAGTTGTGATGGGCACAGCAAATATAACCCATTGCTTTTCGATACTTGTGATGGGCACAGCAAATATAATCCATTGCTTCGGTTTCGGTTGTTGTTTCCCCAGCACTGACAGTTTCCATGCTAGTGGCAAAAGAAAAGTTATGACGAAACCTTAGACTAACATCTTTATTGCAATGTTAGGAACCGAACAAACAAAGAGTCAAGTTTTAGTGTAGTGGAAAGTTCGTGAACACATTCACAGATAAATGGTTTGTATGCCAAACACCCACAACATGGATGGTGGGAATTACTAGAGTCTACTGCATATTGACTCAGTTAAAGCTTCAGATGGGTAACTGGAATGGTTATGAGTGGCTACAAGAACATTTTCGTTTGTCTTTCTTAACCTGTTCAGACCTGCAGGTAATTCCATTATTTTTCAATATTTCCAAAATTGTTAACACTAATTTCTGGCACCTATGCTTTTTACAGGTAGATCAAGGTTTCATGTCTGTACTATTGTTTTATATTCCAAATTATTGTGATAGACTACCTTGAACAAGATGTAATAAAGGGTTATGG